GTTTTAACAAAATTACGAAGTAAACTGAACCAAGCCAAACCAATTGTTGAAGCCCAAAAAATCCAAGGGTAGGCTCAAATATATTTCTAGCCTAGTACGACACCTAACTTGGGAAGAAACCCAACTTGGGTACGCAAGAGTTCATCATATGTGCTTGCACACGTGCCATGCCACACTACAAGCTTAAGTGAGCCCAAGTCACGCGAATGTCTGGGGCTTGCTGAGTGGGTTGTAGTATGGATGGTTACGAGTTTTCATGAGACCCATTGATGAGCCAATAAATGGAAGTTTTGAGCTACTTGGGAGCCCCAAAACTTGAACTCATTTCTTCAGCCCAAATATGCGGGTAAGCATGAAAGAGAGAAAATAGTAGCCCATTACCCTAGAAAATTGGCCAATCACTGTGAAACCCTGTATTTTTTAATATATATATATGTATATGTATTATGTTTCAGAAAATTAAATATTTTGTTACATATTTAGTTTATAACTTATATATAATTATCTTGGTATGTGTTATATTTTCATACATTTATCTTATTAGTTATTAAAAATAGTAATATTTATATGTATTGTTTTTTACAGCTTTATCTCTTTGTTTCTTGCTGACCAAGTTCAATAGCCTAATTGTTATCCAAAACATACTTTAGACTCCAATTGTCATTGTACCTAGATGAGAAAGCTCTATTTTGCACTCCAATAACAGCTATCTAAACTTGGAGCCAAACCTTATCAACGACCTTACTTGGACCAATTGAAGGAAAGTAATTGCCACCTATGTAGTAGTATAAATAGAAACCATTTTCTATTATTGTTTTCATGGCATGCATAGTACTACATGAAGATAGATAGATAGGTTGTCTTGCCAATTTATTTTAAGGCCTCTCATTATCGAGGTAAGTGGTTTATGTAATGTGTTCTAAAAGTTCTTATTTTGTGATAAAATTGAAAACCATGAATTATCGTGGATTTGTTCTATTTACAAATATCTCTCTATTTCAAGTCAAGCATGTCTAATTTGGTGCAATCTTTCAAACTATATATATATATATATATATTGATTGGAATATTTGTGAAGTATGTATTATTCATGGAACCTGAGAACTTCAATGTTGGGGTATCCGAGGGATAGATGTACCACACGGGGACATAGGGCAGTAAGGCCAATAGAGGTCACATGGTTGGTTATATGCTATGAAGGATAACCAATATATGAATGGATGATGTGATATGATCTAGATTGGTGTGTTTTTTCATGATATTTTCTAGAGTGTGTAAAACGGCATTGCTTGACTGGCATATTACATAATCTACTCACTGAGCGGTAGTTGCTCATCCCTCACCCTGTTTAATTTTTCAGATGATTAGTGAGCAAGACAAGGACTAAATCGATTGAGGCTGAATTAGATGAGAGTGATAAAGCTTTATTTATTTCTTATAAATTTGTAAGATTTTGGAGCTATTTTATAAGAGAAATTTACTTTAAACCCATGTTTTGGCTTCTTTTAGGGAGAAATCTCTTCCTTCGATTCAACCTCTTGTCTTTGTGTATTTGGATTTAGGGAGATTTCATAAAAAGAGGTTGAATCGAAGGAAGAGAAGATAAATGGAGGAGAAGACTTTGCTGAAATTGGAGAGAACTCATTATGGTTTCTTGGGAAGAAGGAGCTTCTAACGACTATAAAAGGAGGCATCTTCTACCCAACAAGACAACTCATCAAAGGCAAGCAACCATATCCAGATAGAGCAAGCATCACCTCTCATCTCTGAAACCCTTCGATTTCAAGTCATGTTCTTCCATTGCTTCCCTTGTTTCTTTTATGTCAAGCCACCCAGAAGCCTGATGAAGCTTTCATCAAGCTGCTGGAAATTTGCTGAAGCTACCCATGCTTCCATCTTCTTTTTCTCTTTCCCGTGAACACACATCCAGAGAGTAAGCTTCATCTCTCATCCCTTAAACCTCTGTAATTTTGGGCCACATTCCTCTATCTTCTCTCATTTTCTCCTCTGGTAAATCGTTCCAGAGCTTGACAAAGCTTTCATCAAGCTGCCAGAAACTACTCAACACACCCATTGTTATTTCCCCATATCTCTCTCTCTTCAGTGAACCCTTTTAGAATCCCTTCCCCCTTGCCTTAAAACCTATGTTTCTCATAAGAAATCGCAGCTCTTTCTCTCTCTCATGCTAAACTCATGAATGCTCAGTTCCCATGCCACAAGCTTCTCATGCCAAGCCAAGAATTTATCTGTAAGCGACTGTTGGTTTCATTGGTGAAGAAGACCAATGTGTTTCCTAAGGCTTAGCTACCATTTCAAAACATTCTTGGGGTCTGATCCTTGAACTCAGAGTCAGAGGGCAATTTCATACATTTGGCTCTTTACAGCTGCTCAGGCCCATCAGTAGTTGCCGGAACGAAAAAACCCCCACAACAATTAAATACGGTTTAGTTTGATTTGGTTTAATTCGGCCGAATTGGGCCTAAGCCTAATTCTATTTCCTTTTGCATTGTTTCCACATTGTTAGCCTAATTACAATAATTAAAAAATTCACAATTTGCACTATACTTTTTTCATTTTCTAGAGTATCAAACAATCCTAAAACTCGACATGCCATAAAACTTCAAATTTCAATAACTAATATAGCTACAATTCAAATATCTATACATCCTACACATGTAAAATAAAAAGAAAAATAAATAAATATACATGTAGGTAGTCCAATTTCTTTTAGGTCGGGTATACAAACTCAAAATGAACAAAATCAAACCATATAGGCCCGATTTGGTTTTTAAACCGTTTGACTTTTTCTTGATTAAAATCAAACTAAACCAGTCATTACTGTTTCGATCGGCTGATTTCATTGGTTCAACCAAATTGATGCCCACTCCTAGTACAAAGTGTAACTGACCTTAGAATAAATGACATATGTGGTAATATTATTGAATTGCGTGAAGTGTTAAGGATAGTTTAAAATCGGTTCATGAATAAATGTTTATTTTAGTGACAATTTCAACTTTTACGTAGGAATTTAGATTCAAATATCGTTTATTATATGTAAATTTGCTCATATATGAATTAGGCTAAGTGATCAAGGTACTGTGCTTGGCTCCTTGTGATTAAGTTCAATATGCCTTCCTTGAACCCTAGAGTAATTAAAATATTTCTTCATTAAAAAAAAGAGAGTACATATACATTAAATTACTTCATGTATTTGTGCTTCATATGTTTTCATTAATTGATTAAGGTTTGTATTTTCTTAATTGATTAGGAATGAAAGTGCTATCGTTTAATTTTTCAATGTTATTTTATTCTAAAAAGAATTTCAGAAGTTTTACATTACAACCTCTTCCCACCATTGAAATGGAAATCCTATCTTTTTACTTTATATATGGGCAGCTGCGGCAGCTGACTAATTAATCTATTAGAGCATCTCCATCGTAGGAGCCCTGCCAGGGAAAAAGGCCCCACGAGAGCCCAATCCACCCTCCAGCGCTACCAATCCAGCCCGGGCAAGCCCAATGGTAGATCTTGCCTGGGCTATTGCCCTCGGGTTGTTGACGTCAGCGCATGATTTTCAATTTTTTTTTTGTTGGCACATGGAATACACGCGCCAACAGTAAAAAAAATTGAAAATCAACCACTGACGTCAACGCTGACCCACCAGCCCACATAGCCCAACGGTTATAAGCCACGTGGCTTCTCCTGGAGCCTCCGATCAAAAAATCTTGCTCAATCCAATAGCTGTCCAATTTTTAGCTTAAAAAAATTGAAAAAAATATCAATTTTTTTATAAAAAAAATATCAAAAAAATTATGGAATTTTTTTTTATAAATACCTACCAATATTATTCACTTTCACACCAAATCTTCATATAAATTCATCTCATTCCAATATTTTTCACTTTCCACACCAAATTTTCTACTACAAAATTCCATTTATGCCAAAATACAAATGACATCTTCCATCGAAGCCGGAGGGTCGTGGGCAAACATTCGAAGAGGTCAAAATCTTGGTGACGAGGTGAAATTTTTTTTTTCTTCGTTTTATTCAATTTAATGTCATTATATATATATATATTTCTTGCATTTCCAATTTCCTTTTTTTAAATAAATTATTCAAGGAAAAACAAAAAAGATGAAAACCATTACATATGGCTTCTCAAGTGAATAATGTCCGCAGTCGGTTCCAGTGGTGTGTTCCGTATTAGAAATAATGGCACTATTACGTCATCTGAAGGAAAATACTCCCCCATGTCGTAATCCGATGGAACTGCCTCTGCCAATGATGGAGTTGTCCTTGTATTCCATTGTGTCGGACTATGAGGACGGGAATATTTCAATTGTATGATGAGTGAGTAGGTATTTCAATTGTATGATGAGTGAGATGTGAATTTTATAATAAATATGGACACGTGGCAACCGAAAATTTTATCCAAAAATTTTATTTGAAAATTTTATCCGAAAAATGTTATCTTAAATTTTAAGTGAAAATTTTATAATAAATAGTGACACATGACAACCGAAAATATAATCTAAAATTTTTATCAAAATTAATAGTTTAAGTATAAAAAAAAATAATAATAATAAAGTAAAATGAATAGTACTTGCCTTTGCCCCTAACCTTTTGGGGTGGAACCAAAAAAGACAAGGCTGCCACTATTCACATGAATAGTAGCAGCTATTGCTTTGCCCTTGCCTTAGCCTTAGCATTTTGGGGTGGACATGCTCTTATGAATTCAGGGCAGGACTTTCCTACTTACTCCTAAGAATTCTGAATCCGTTACCTACTTGATCACTTTTTCACTATAGTGCTACCTCATGTATAACCCTCGTATTTTAAAAAATAATAATTAATGGGCTATGAGTGATAAGAAACCATAAAATTTTTTGAGTGCAACCACGGGCCAACCCACCTGCACCATACTTTCGGGTCGAGCAGCCCACCTGTGAATGCACTTTGTCTTTAATAAAGAAAAAAAAAAGAAAAAAAAAAGTTATAAAAAAGAAAAGAAAAAAAAATACAAAAAGAAAGAAAAAGGAAAAACAGAGAGGAAAACTTCAGGGAGTGCCAGACTCCTGATTTCCACTGAGTAGGTGCAAGAGACAATCTCGATAGCTTTCATCAATGGCGGGCGTATCTCTGAAGTGCGGGGACTGTGGGGCTCTCCTGAAGTCCGTGGAGGAAGCCCAAGAGCATGCCGAGCTTACCTCCCACTCCAACTTCTCTGAGTCAACCGAAGCTGTTCTCAACCTCGTCTGTTCTTCTTGCGGCAAACCATGCCGATCCAAAACCGTATAGTCCCTACTCTTTCTTTCTCTCTTGAAATTCAATTGTTTTACTCTTTACTCTGAATTTGCTCATCTGGGTCAGTAGGATTTCAGTTTAATTTTCATATACATTAGTTGGAATTCAGTATCTTTGTTTCTTAGTAAATTTTGAAACTTTTGGTTGTTCTGTTTTCCTTTATTTTCAAGTATACTGAACTTAATGACCAGCAATGTTTTTTTAATTTCTCAAAGGTACTTAGGTGTATCCAAAAAGGGATTGATCCTCACATTATCTATTATATACTGTCATATTGGAAATTTTGGTCTCCTTATTAGATTTGCTTTTCTGGGTTGTTGATTCAAATTCAGTTTCATGTGGATTAAATTAAAGATTTTTTGGTTATTCGAGCTCAGAGAGTGAGGAATGTAGCAGCAAGCTGAGCTCAATGAGTAATTATCGCATGTGTTTATATTTAGAAGATTGAAGATTAGACTATTATTTTCTTGGCAATAGAGAAAACTTGTTTTGATGATTTTTTGGTGCTTGGATATGTTTGATCATAAAGGAAAGTGATTTGCATACCAAAAGAACGGGGCATACTGAGTTTGTTGATAAGACTGCGGATACAGTAAAGCCAATAAGTTTGGAGGTTCCAAAGGTGACAGCTTCAGAGTCCGAAGAGGCTGTTGGTGCAAGTAGCCAGGCAGAAGGTACTTCTTCCGGTTGAGTGTTTTGTATATCTTGAGGTTGTGTTCAGTGAAAGCATGAAATTTGATCTTATATATTTGGAAAGCTTTTTAGTGCAAATAGGTTGGATAGGTTGGATTTTTACAGTTTTTGGGTAGATGCCATATTCTGTATGAATTTACCGAATCTGTGCAACGATATGATGCATAACTAGAGTTTATGTTGTTTGGATGTTTGATCCTGGTGCACTTCTTCCTTTCTTTGTGCCTTTCTTTTTTACAAATTTATAAATAAACCCAATTCTAGACATGTATTTATAAAAAAACCCAAGCACTATTTAAACATAGAAACACACCCAAAATCAACCCCAAAGTCAACTTTTTGGGTGTGTTTATAAATGACTTTTGAGTGTGTGTAATGATGGGTTTTGGGTGTGTTTATATGTTTAAATAGTGCTTGGGTTTTTTTATAATTTCAACCTTCATTTTGGGTGTTTTAGTGAAATTCCCTTTTTTTTTTGCATGCCTTCCTGCTGTTGGAAATCAGTTTTATTTGAAGGGCTTTGGTCTTTTCTTTTTTGGAGCATTAATTTTGTACTTCTGTGTATCCATGCTCTATTCAAATTAAGTCTGAATATATACTATGATAACTTTAGAGATGTGCATAATTCTTCCCCCAATGCATGGATTTGCACAGAAGTGCATAAAGTAATATGACTGCATATACTTGTTCTCATGGTTGTTTTGTTAATGGTCGTTATTTCTATAAACAAAGATTAATGGTCTTTCTTAGAACTTCTTCACTAAGAAGGCTGTTGGCAGTCAGTGCTTCTGCTTGTTCAGGTCTAGATTAGAAATCATGGTTGTAGATGAACATGGAAGATGCACTTTAACTTTTCAAATTAATTCCAAAGTCAGGCTTTACAATCTGTTTATTTATGATAGGAAACATATTGCCATTGGCTGGTTTTTTCTTTATGGTTAGTCATTTCTGTTACTCTTGTTTATTGACTCGATGATTACCTGATCAATGTTTCTTCATCTAGAAATGGTTGTTCCAGAGGTTGACAAAAAGCTGCTTGAGGAACTCGAAGGAATGGGATTTTCAACAGCGCGGGCAACCCGTGCACTTCACTATTCTGGTGAGCTCATGAAAAATAAATTGTATATTTATTAAATGATATTGAAGCTTCTTACATTTGGCTTGCTTTTAGTGGTTTTGTTTATGTTTTACCCCATCTTTTGTTCCCATCAGAAAAATGATGGATGCTAACAATTATTAGGAGACTTGTGATTTCTATTAGTTGAAGTACTGCATGATTAGGACTCAGGTTCATTTGTTTATAGTTTTGGGGCCTGTTCTTCTTGTAGCTACCATTTGAGATAGAGCCTAGTAACAGCCTGCACGGTGGAAAGCATTAGAAGAACTAGAATTCATAAAAGTTGAGCGAGTGCATAGCCTGCTGTGCTTATTAAATTTATTGGATTTCACAGATTATGAAATTCTTAGGATTCAGCTATTTCTGCTAAAACCAGTGAGCTCGGTTCTATATTTAATGGTTTCTAGGGTTGTAAGCTTGTGAATTTTGTCATTTTGAAACCGTTCCACATAAATGAAAATTTGTGACCTGACAATATTAATTCTCTCAGCTCATAATATCTTTTTTTCCCAGGTAATGCAAGCCTGGAGGCTGCAGTCAATTGGGTGGTTGAACATGAGAATGATCCAGACATAGATCAAATGCCTTCAGTATGATACCTTCATTTTGATCCTTGATATGAATCATGTGCATCTTCTCCCTCTCTCTCTCTCTCTCTCTCACACACACACACACACACACACACACACATACTCACTCACTCAATGCAAGCACTTTGCGGCAGAAATGGTTGGGGCAGAAAAGGTTGGATAGACTGGTTATGTACTTGCATATCTATTGTATGATGATGTTAATGATATACTACTGGTTGAGAAAATATCACTCACTCACACACTCAATGCAAACACTTTGCAGCAGAAAAGGTTGGATAGACTGGTTATGTACTTGCGTATATATTCTATGATGATATTAATGATATACTACTAGTTGAGAAAGTATCTTCCAAAAAATGTATCTCAATTAGGGAAGATAGGAGGAGGTTTGACATCCTAGTGATGACTATTAGTATAAATCAAGTTTTATAAATTTATCTATTGGAAACTGAACAATTTTATTTAGTGGATGATGTTGGTGTTTGAAATTTCTAGGGTATTATTTTTCTTTAAGAAAAGTCCAATGATTTTTTTATTTTTTTATTTAATTGTAAATCTTACCAATGCAACTTTTATTTGCCTTATTCCAAAAATAAAAGGAGACCAGACTCCTTGACAATTAGCGGCTACCGCCCTATAAGTTTGCTCTCAAGATTATACAAAGTGCATGCTAAAGTGTTGGCCTTGAAATTGAGAGAGGTTTCTTAAGTAGTCTATCAGTGGTGCGAAGCGGCTTTGCCCCCTTTCAGTAGGGGAGCAAAAGGTTAGACCTTAGAAAGTCAGGGAACAGCGGTTTGGGAAACAACTTCTCAATCCCAAGGTGCTTTAGTGAATGAGAGGCAAAGTTTAGACATACTTTTGGCTGGTTATGAGGTTGTGCAGTGCTGGATATAGAAAGATGGGGAAGGAGGAAGGGTTGGTTATTAAGGTTGACTATAAGAAGGCTTATGATTGAGGTGATTAGGGATTCCTAAACTCGATGATGGAGGTTAGAGGTTTTGGTGAGAGATTGTTCTTAGGGACAGTTTGTGTTTGTTAAACTTAAGACTTGTGATTTTGCTTGACATTGTAATGTCTTCTCAGTTACTGGGTTTCAGAATTTGGTGAATAGTTTAGCTTTTTATTGTTTGTTGTTGCTTTAGAAAAAGATAAAGAGAGAGAACTTCAGAAATATGTAAAACTTGCCTGCTTATTTGTGCTCAGGTACCAGTCAACCCCAAAGTTGAGGCTCCAAAACCTTCTCTCACGCCAGAGCAATTGAAAGCCAAGCAACAAGAGCTTAGGTAGTGCTTTTTATTCATTCTCAGTGTCACTGATTAGATATCTTGATCATACCAAAAAAATGAGATAATCTTGATATCAAAGTTATTGCAGATTCTAGTTTCTGCTTGTCATAATAAATCTCATTCTTTTTATTGGATGCTGTAGCTCCCAATTTTGTTTGTTGAAGCTGATAGGTATTAGCATGTGTAAGGTTTATAATTTTAGATTGAAGCTCCCTTTTCCTTCTTTCATTTATAACTGAGAGCAAACTAATCACTTCAAAAGTCTTTCTTCCCTAGTATGGAAATTGGACTCTGCAATTAACCTTTAAAAGTTAGGGGGTTTCACTAAAACACCCAAAATGGGGTTGAAATTATAAAAAAACCCAAGCACTATTTAAACATATAAACACACCCAAAACCCATCATTACACACACTCAAAACTCATTTATAAACACACCCAAAAAGTTGACTTTGGGGTTGATTTTGGGTGTGTTTCTATGTTTAAATAGTGCTTGGGTTTTTTTATAAATACATGTCTAGAATTGGGTTTATTTATAAATTTGTGTAAAAGTTAATTACTGGTTATTCAACCTTTCCATTGAACTGGGAGGAATACTCATGCTTGGGCATATGCTTCATCCTTTTACTTGAATTTATCATGTAGGTATCCTTGTATGGACTTGCTTGTAACTTCCTTTGACAACATGGATTTGGGCCATACTCATGTTTTAAAATTTCTTTAGACTTGCTTAATGCTTCTCACTATTTTATTCGATTGCCTTGTAAACTTCTTTTCAACCATCCTTTAAGGGAGAAAGCTCGGAAGAAGAAAGAAGAAGAGGAGAAGAGAACGGAAAAAGAAAGAGAAAAGGTACTTCTGAATGTCTTCCCTTGTATCTTTACTTGCATTACAAAAGTAACCTTTTCCAGCTATTATGTGTATGTAAGTGCATGCCTGGTAGTCTTATTGTGAAAAAGTTACATCCCAATATTGGACATGCCTTCTGACAAAAAAACAAAAAACAAAAAATAAAGAAGAAGGAAAAGAAGCAGAAAATCTTGGACATGCCTGTCCTTTTCATCATCATGTATTGTTTGTTCATGTGTGTCCGTATGAAATTTTTAATACAATTAATTGAAAATTTCGGCTCTTTTATAATATTGCTTATTATTTTTTTAATACTTGATAGTTTATGTTCTCAATAAAAGATTTTGCTTCTTGAATCAATCCTTTTTTTTTTTTGGGGTGGTTCAGTTCAAGGAGAAATATGTTTAATTTTTTTAGTTATCTGGATATATATGTTGAAGAATTCTGGTTGGATTCATTTATGTTAGGAAGTTATTAAGAACCTACAAAAGCCTGCCCTGTGTGTACAATATGTAGTACTTCAGTTTATCTCAATTTTCAAATCTACGTTCTTTGATCATATGTGGATGATATGTTTCTTTGTATTTTTATGATTTTTTTTTTCAGGAGAGGATTCGAGTAGGCAAGGAACTCTTAGAAGCGAAGAGAATGGAAGAAGAAAATGAAAGAAAACGGTTTATCTTCATCTAGTGATCTTTTGTGTTTGTTTTCCAATCTACCATTATACGACATCAATGCCCTTTTTTCCTCACATTACTTGGATTCATCTTCCATTGGGATGGAAATGTGATTCTTTCTGATAGGATTATAGCCTTGCGAAAAGCGGAAAAAGAAGAAGAGAAAAGAGCTAGGGAAAAGATTCGTCAAAAATTGGAGGAAGATAAGGTAAAGATATTCAGAGCCACTTTGTTTAATCCTGTACTAAACTAATTAAGACTAAGTTCTTGGCTTTACAAGCAATTTGTTAAGTTTTTGTTCTTTTATCATTTGTCTAAAGCTTTCCACTTGGAGACGAGTTAAACTCACACCTAAATTATGTCTTTTTCTTTAATCAAGTCTGTGAAGCATTATTAGTAGAGGAAACCTTTAATCAAGTTTAATGGACAAAAAAGAACTAGTGGAGGCAAACCTTGTTCAAATTCTTGATTGCCAATTAGTTGAGAAAAGTAGGAGTAGTTTATTTTAGGAGCCATTTGGTAGCGGAATGAATTCTTCAGGAATGAAAGTTCCTTTGTTCATTCCTCGGGGATGGAAGTGAAAACAATATCTCATTCCACTGTTTTGAAAATGCTGGGAAGTGATAACCAGGATATACCTATTATTCCATTCCCATGTTTAGTTTTTGTAGGTAGTGATGAAAATAAAAAAAATTTCAGTTTTTCATTAATACCCTTATAAATAAAAAATAAAAAAAATGCCAAGATTTTTTATGGAAAACAAAAGGTGGTATTTTAATTTATAATGTGGTTGGTTTAGTCATCAAGAATGCAATAAATGTATTCCCAAGGCATGGAAATTGCATACCCGAGGGGGTCCAAGGGTTTGATTCCATCCTTCATGGGTGTGCAATTCCTATGTAACATGTATCACATTCCCAGGGACTTGTTTACCATATTTGGAATGACGTACCCATTCCCAAACTTCTAATTCGCGAAACATAACAGGCCCTAAAGTATGTAAAATTATCAGACCCATATAAGGCTTGACATAAATTTGAACTTTTGATCTATCTTGTAGGGCATATGGAGTCTGGATTATTTCATCTGAGTTTGTGTTATAAATGCAATGACCATAGAGTTTCTGTAGTCTAGTAAAGCTAAAGCACTGTGCACTAAGTGAATTCCCATAGTGCTTCACGTCAACAGCTAGTCTAAGTTTTTTGTTTCCTTTCATATTTTGAACTTTCTATGTTGTAGGAGGGTTAACTAGTGTGGATCCGGTCTGTATTTAGATTAGTATGAAGAAGATATCCACCTCCCTCTCAACCCTCTTTTTAAAGTGAATGGAAAGCACTTGCAAGTAACCTGTCTTAAATGTTCTCTGGGAAAATTTACTTGTTAATTACGTGACTTGACAACTAGGATCGACAAGTAAGTTAGTAGATATAGTACCATGACTTTCTTTTAGTTTGCTGAAGTTGTTTTGAGTTCTCACTCTTTATTCCTGTGTACATCTTGTCCATTGTTTGTACTGCTATCTCTTCTTATTGAAATTTGTTTCCTATAAAAGTAAGATAAAGGAAAAATATATATAATACACACCTAAAAGTACCTCATTATGCTGTTTTAGAACTTGCTTCCCCCTTTTATCAGTTTGTTGTATCTGTTTCTTTATTTTTTTAATAATAATAAATCAGTTTTTTTTTTCCTTATCTGTTTGTACAGGCGGAAAGGAGGAGGAGACTTGGGTTGCCACCAGAAGATCCTTCAACTGCAAAACCTGCTGCACCTGTTGTGGAAGAGAAAAAGGCATGAGCTTGTTTGAATATATTATTTACCTGTAATGCCATTCAGAAATTGTTGAAACCTGTACTGATGCACCTCTGTTGTATTAATGGTATCTGACGTACAGAGCTCATTGCCCATAAGGCCTGCTACAAAAGCAGAACAAATGAGAGAATGTTTGCGATCTCTCAAGCAGAATCACAAGGTAAAAACTGTTACCTGTAATGTTAATAATTCATTAAAAACAAGAAAATAAAATTTCAACTTCTTGATATTGAGGGCCTTTCTGTAGAACCACATACAGGTCTGGTACAAGAGACCAAAAATTAAGTTTTCCTTTCAAGGGGTTCATGATTCTCCTTAGTTTCAAGTGCTCATTTTTGTATTTTTAATGTCACTCATACTGACACTGTTAAGCCATGACCCTGGATACCAGCCATAGTTACTTTTTTTAAATAAGAAGGAAAAAAAGATATGTGGAATGCTTTTTCTTGAAAAGAAACTGCTCTCACTTTTTATCTGTTCAACGTTTTGTTGTATGGATTGTGGGCAATGGCCTTAATTTTTTCTTTCTGTGCGTAGGAGGACGATGCCAATGTGAAGAGAGCATTCCAGACTCTTTTAACTTTTGTAGGGAATGTTGCCAGAAATCCCGATGAGGAGAAATATAGAAAAATAAGACTCACTAACCAATCTTTCCAGGTAGAACAACTTATCATGCACAGAAAACAGCCATCTGCTGAGAAATCTTTTCCTGTTATATGATTTTATACTCGTTACAAGGTGTTTCGGTTGGACTCAGATATTAATGGTTTAATGTTGCATAGACTGTACCCCATTATTGAGCTCCATGTTTCTTGTTTGTTGACACAACTCCTTTTTTGTTTTCTTTGTTATCAATCACTCATTGCGTTAACAGGATAGGGTTGGTTCGTTCAAAGGAGGTATTGAGTTTCTTGAGTTGTGCGAGTTTGAGAGGGTAGAAGGGAGCGAGTTCTTGTTTCTTCCTAGGGACAAGGTTGACATGGCAGTGCTGAATTCAGCTGGGTCTGAGCTAGACTCGGCAATAAAGAATCCCTTTTTCGGTGTTCTTTAAGTTAAAAGATGTTTCATTATATATACAGTTTTTCTTTTCCGGATTTGGTGTGGTGAAATTGATGCTTTGTGGTTGTTTATTACATTACTACACCGTTTTGGCCATTATTAATATATGGTTATGAATTAAGGGATCTTTACTGCTATTTTCATTTAAAATAAACTTGGATCAAGAAGGGTGTCGATTTTCAAACTTTATAAATGGAGGAGAAGACATTATTAGTCTTTTTGAGGTTTATACTTTTTGTCATTGAATCGTGCACAGGGTTATGTTTACCACTCCCTCCCATTTCGATTGGTATTTGAGGATTTTCTTCCAAAGTTTATTTGTGTTTTGATTCACAAGTACCAATTAAAGTAAAATTATTCCGAAGCAAAGCAAGCCATTCATATTGAAACCATTTGTGAAAAAAAGTAATTCTCTGATTAAAAATAAAATAAATTAAAATCATGTCATACCAAATTAAATTGTGTTATATTTAATATTCATAAAACAATTACTAAAAAAAAGAAAAAAAAAAAAGGGGAAAAAAAGCTTTTAAATAATATATCTAATTCTCGGTGGGCGGTCGAATTCGAGGAATAAGTTTTTGGTTTTTTTATTTTTTTATTTTTAAACACTTATTCTTAGAATACATACAATTCGAGAAATTCAACATAACCAAAGTACGGTAGAACAGCGTAGCCCACTGCTCAATTCAATTCTCATCACACACACTCTCTCTATCTCTCTCTCACTTCAATTCAACTTTCGTTCAAGAATCAACATTCGGGCGACCCAAAAAAATAAAGAAAGAAGGAATTAAGGTTCTTGGCTCAACTTTCTTCTTCCTTCAAACTAAAACCTGGTTCAGTTCTTCTTCTTCCGGGTAATTTTAATCTTTAATCTAGGGTTTTAGAAATTTCTTATCAGTTTTCGTTTTAAATTCTGCCCCTTTCTCTTCAATTAGTCCTTTACTTGGTTTTCAAGTTAAAAAGTCTTCTTCTCCTAATCTGATGTTGCTTTACCTCATTACGTGTTTGCAGATCATACTCATTGAATTTGTCTGAGGCTGCGGGAATGATGTTTGGGTATTTAGGTATTTGTGCAGAGAAGCTTTGTCTATTTTGCGCAAGAGTACGAGCATTCATTCCACCGTTTTTGTCTTCTCTCTTTTCTTGGAACTCCAATGGCCAAAAATACCTAACCCACCTTCAGAAGCTTGACCAGGTATGATTTTTATAGCACGATAATCTATCACTGTCAGGGTACAAATGAAAATATATATATATTCTTTATTTTTTACTCATTAAATTTGTTGGATTTCTCAGTTCATCCTGTTCTTAAAAGTTTACTGAAAATAATTACATCATGGTGGTTTTAGATTGCAAGATTGAAAATGAATATAATGAAGGAAAAAAAATATTTTAATTTGAGGTTGGGAGTTGAGACTAGATTGGCTGTGTTGAATTTCATTGTGCTGTCCTTGGTATGCATTTTGGTTATGTATTATACATTAATATATGAATAAGCCGTATTTCTGGATTTCGTTTCTTGTAGATTGATCAACCAAGATGGGAGGACTTACCTCTGGACTGTTTGGTGAATGTGTTTGGAAGAGTTGGTATGAGGTCGTTGCTCTTAAATGTTCCTTTTGTGTGCAAGTCATGGCACAGGGCGAGCCTCGACCCTTCATGCTGGCAACGTCTCATTTTTATTGACACTGAAACTGAGATGGACCTTGAAACTCGTCAATTTTGGTGTTGTGATAATGAAATTGAAGCTGATATTGACATTGAATCTGATCGTCGCTGTTTTGAGGCATTGATGAATAGATTTGCATGTCAATATCGAATGGATGATAGTTCTTTTTCTGACACTGGATTTATAAAGTTCGTAGTCAATCGTAGCAAAGAACATGCAACTTTCCTGAGGCTTCCTGGAGTCTGTCCAGAAGCTGCAATGAAATATGTTGGGGATGTGTAAGTTTTCTCCAAATCATTCCAATGTATTTTGATGTCTATAGATAGAGAGAAAAGAGTGACTCTTTGGTTAAGCCATATTTTTCTATGACATGCACTTTGACATTAAAACCATTTTATAGTAACCTGAAATATGAGTCTTGGTGAACATTTATTTGCAGGTGTCATGGACTCAAGGGTTTGTCTCTGCCTAGACGTTTACTGCTTTGTTCACCAAGCATCGTTGCAGAACTGATTGGTAAGTGCAAACATTTGGAGTTATTGTCTGTTGGGGGCAGCCATAACTTCGAGGAGATCCTTTTACAGTTCAGCATGGGCTGTTGCAAGAGGTTTCTCAACATGGATGTGCCAGCTGCTTTAAGGAATAGGGAAGGGAATAGGAATGTTCCTGATATTATTCCAAATGTTAGCTTCTTATGCAGCTACAATTTTGAGGAAATCTTTTCACAGATCCGCATTCACTGCAAGAATTTTTGTGGTTTAAATGTGTCGGGTGCTTTACTTAGAAGAGAAGATGTGTTGGCAATTGTCAACTTGCTTCCTCATATTAAATACTTAATCTTGAGGAAGTCATTCATTGATCGGGATGATCTTGCCACATTACTTCAAGGCTGCGAAGAACTTGTGCTTTTGGATGCAAGGAATTGCTGTGGTTTTGATGAAGGTGATGTTGAAATATCAGTGCTTGCTTCTCATATTGGTAAATTCAGCTGTGAGGGTTCTAGATATGTTGACCCTCTTCTGTGGTTGCGTAGTCACAAATATATTTAGACATTGATATGAGTGCTTTTCAAGCAAAGCATACCCTTATTAGCTTAGGTGTTTCTTGTCCAGTTCTTTCTTGACGGGATATTTTGAATGCTCTTTCCATGACACCGAAGTGATTGATGGTTGAGATTGAGACTTGTTTCTGTCGGGTAGTGACAGTTGAGAATTGTAAATTCAGTTTGTTGGTAGGTTTGGAGGGTTTATGTAATAGGCTACAGACTTGAACCTTGGGTTGTGTAATTGCCTAATATAGTAGATACTATTGTCTAATGATCTCTTCTTCTATTTTATTTTTAGTAATGTAGCTAAAATTGTATTGAAGTTTATGCTCCTGGATAGTTAAGTCCCTTTGTCTGCAAGTCATGGTTGAGTTTTGTTGTTGTTGATAAAAGCTTGGGGGAGGTGAAAATCGTAGCACCTTAGCCACTTGAGCTATAAACTCCTTGCAAGTCAGCATGCCTTTTAGTGTTATATTTATATTTTATTTTAGTTTTGTAAATTTCTACAACACAAACTGAGCAGTGAGTACCTTAAGAAATTAAAATCATTTCACCTGCTTACAAGTTACATGCCTCTACACCCCTCATGATGGGCTCTGCCACCATTAGAAAAGAACTAGCAAAGACAAGATGAAGCCAGGCAACAAATAAGGGTCTCCATCTATATCATCCCATGATCTCTTCAAACCAGCCTACTTACCATGACCCAGGGCAGTTAATCAGCTTCACAAATCCTAGAAGTGCTTGCACACGATCTGCTGAGAAGGCTGCAATAAACTCCTCTAAGCTACTCAGTAAGGACTTCAGAACCATTTTCAGATCAGCCACTATATATGCCTTTAAAAACTATAATGTTCAATACCTTCCTGATCCTCCACAGGCCAAAATCTTAGGCTTATAGGGGGTTGCACAGAATGCGAAGAAGTCCCATCACTCGGCCATTTACCAAATCTTAGGCTTGTTCATTTGGAAGGTATGCATAAGCTTAAATGTGTTGGAGCTGAGTTTTATGGTACGAAAAGGAAAGAGACAGGGGTGGCTTTGTTTCCAGCACTGAAAAGCTCAACTATTGATTGAATATTGCCCAGCTCTAATTAAATGGGAGGAACTGCCAAGAGATGAGAAAGTAGCGGTGTTTCCCTGCCTTGAGGAGTTGACAGTTTGGGGTTGTGAAAAGTTGAGGCGTTTATCTGATGGGCTACACACACTTTGTATGCCATGTCTCCGTGAATTGTTGATTGACAATTGTCATTTGCTCTACTGCTCGGGAGGTTCTTAATAGGTGATTGTTTAAGATATCAGCTGGTAGCTTCCCATCAGTTATACGAGTAGCTTTCTTATATGTTCGGATTCCAAGGTGCTGATCGATAGTCTAAAAACTTAACATTCACGTTTTGAACCACCTGCAAGTCTTTTTATTAGAGCATCTCCAACTTTAAATTGCCACATAGACATATGCGGTCAACTCTTTCTTTTTTCTTCTAAAATTGAATTTGGTTTAGTTCTTCCAGTACTCTATTAGAGCAAGCAGGACCCAAGTAAGTTCATCTCTCGTTACTGTTTAGTGCTCATTATTGTCGTTTAAACATGCTTTCTTTTTAGGAATTGTTCTGTGTCTGTTGCATTTCACAGTTCTGAGTTGTTTAGTAAGGTGTTGCATAGATATATAGATTCAGCGGTAACCAGTCTCCGGTGCATTATTGTTTGAGGGATGAATTACTAAAACGTTCTTTAAACACTAGAAAATTAGCCTTTCAAAACAGAGGTTTTAAAGTTGTTCAAGCAGAGTTTGGTCTACTTTTAACACAATGATAGCCAATTAGCCATTGAAGAGACGCATCAAAGCACTAGATATCTTCCAAGATAAGGAACAGACTGAGCGCCTTAAGAAACTAAAATCATTTCACCTGCTTACAGCCTCTAAACCCCTCTTGATGGGATCTAAGCTACTCAGTAAGGACTTTAGAACCATTTTCAGATCAGCCACTATATATGCCTTAAAAAACTTTAATGTTCAATACCTTCCTGATCCTCCATAGGCCAAAATCAACACCATTAACCCCAGAGATTTCTGGCCAGAAAAACAACCAGAGATCTTCCACCTTTCATGACCCCCTTCATGATCATGAACTGATTTGCAGCTGCACATGCAAATGAAAATAAACAAGCTAGTTGAAAAAGGAATAGTGGTGAAGACCACTGTCCAATTTCACCAACTGCATTTACTGATTTGAACTTCCAACAGAGAATTACCCTAATAATCATATCTTACATTTCCATCTAATCATATGATTATTCTTGGAAAGCATTCACACGTTTAGCTTCAATCATTTTCATTTGAGATATATACATTTCCCTGGAGGTTCTCCATAGGTGATTGTCTTAGATATCTGGTAACTTCCCATCAGTTACGAGTATCTTACTTAGCATATGCTTGCCCTGTACGAAATGTTGTTAGTAAGTTCATGTCAGTCTCTGTTAATTCCAAGTAGTAGTAGTACATAATCATTTAATGAATTGGAGGATTTACCAGAGTGATCGGGGAACCTAATTTGTTGAAGAACTGTCTATTTGCAGTCATTAATTGATTTTAGTTCACATCCTCAGTGCATTCCTGGCACTGGAAGATATCTACTACGTTGATGTGTCTATTGAATGTCTATCATTGTAATGAGCAGCGACTATAAGTCTAAGTAGTACATTCAGTTCCAAATTGCACAAACTTCCCTTTGTAATCAATTATACACTTTGGAAATCACTACCCTACTCTGCTTCTCTTTTAGTGTTCTAGTTTGATTTGTTTTACTTTTTAATATTTACTTATTGTGTGTTGTGCTTCTCTACTCTCTAGCTAACTTTTTTTTTAATGATCCAATATACTGGGCGTGTCCATGCCATGTCTGTTGTATATATGCAGATGGACTTTTGTTGTTACTTTGGTTTGATTTGTAGGTTTTCAAAGAGGTCATCAGTCAAAGGAGGAACTGGTGTGCAACATATTGTGCAGGTACTTGAGATCTATTTCTTCTGTTGTCCTACAGAGGTAATCAGTTTCTTATTTCTTTGTGGATAATGCATGACATGTTAGGTTCGTTCAAAAAAATACCCTACGTGCTGATCATATGGTGTATCTTATACTCAAGCCTTAAGACTTGCTTACTTACTGGCATCAGTAGTACGACTAAATTCAAAATCTATTCTGGTATTCATATGTGACTCAAGGAACTTGAATTTCAAACTTAGTGGTCTATACTTCTCCTGAATCTTGTTTCGAATTCCTTTTTTCCTTTTCTTCTGTTTTTGTCTTCTTCTTTGGATGCTTTTTTTTTTTCATTCTTCTTTATAAGTGAAGTGTTTCGTACATTTTGAAAGCTTCAATTACCATGGTTTGTTTATATGGAAACTTACAGAGAAAGTACTACATTTTTAAAGTTTCAAATACTAGTTACAGTTTCCAGTTTCATTCATTTTTTGTTTTGCTAAAATGAACCAATGAACAAAAATTGGATCATACGTGCATGTATTTGAATTCCCAGACTTCAAAATGAATCAATGCTTTATTTATGTGGCAATCTATACAATTGCAGGTGTTTATGCGTCCATGGTGTCGTTACAACATTTGTAATTTTCTGTTTCAGATTTTAATTTCTCTCTTTTCCATGCATGGAGAGATACTGGAATCAACACTCAGTATGCTGTATGCTGCCTAACCTTTTGTATACTGCATAGTGCAACCAATATGGTGTTTTTGTGGTGCAGGTTTTCAGCTATATATATGGTATATCATTTGTTGATGTTGAATTATTAATTCTTTTATTTACCTTATCTTAGAGTATCCATTTTCCTAACTTTCTTGTTTCTATAATTCAGGTCATGGACTCTTGCATGGTTGCATATGATCACACAGAACAGAGGCCTCTGTTCCTAAAGTTACAGGATAAAATTTCACCTACATTAGCGAGTCTTATTGGATAGCATGTCATTTACTTATGCTTATTGCAATGTTCAGGTAAAGAAATCTTCAGTTATAAGGTTTTTACCGCCATTTGAAAAGTTGAAGGTTATTTTGAACATTTCTTGCTAATTTGGTCTTGGTTTTATATTGACTATGCATTGCAGAGTTGAGATTGAAAAAGAAACGCATGCACGCAATGTGCCTGTGGTCTACAACTTATTGTTTTGGACAAAATGGTAAGCTATGATCCCTTTAATTTGTTTTCTTGACATTAATTCATCATCAAATCTGAGTTATATTCTTATGAGTTTTGCATCACATTGTCAATTTGTTTGTTGTGGTGCAGTTTAATGAGGAAAAATGCTTTAAATCAACTTCTAGAGATGCAGAAGCACTTTTCGTAGCTATTCAAGCCCTGCATCTAATGATAAGAGTCATTTTTGTTAGATCTATGGATGCATTTATCGAGTTTTTTGTTACTCTAGTATGTCTCTACTTAGGGTTTAGATCTATGGATGGATGCATTTGTCAGTAAAGACTGGAGTAGAAAATCAGTAGGTATTGCTTAAAAGCATCCGAGATGAGTTACATGAAAGCGATACCTACCTATTCTTATAATACCACAAGGAATTTCGGAAAGAAATGCTAGGAAATTGTGCTCCCTATTTTCGAATGGTGAAGCCCTCAGCAACATCTTGTCAAGTTTTAATTCCTTACATGTGTTAAATTTATACAAGGCTGAAATTGAGGATTTTCCAAGTTCAATCGGCAACAGCTTGTCAAGTTTAATTGCTTTACGCGTGTTCAAAGTTTCTGGAACAAAAATCAGAGAATTGCCAAAATCTATTGGCAAGCCTTATAACCTATAAACGTTAAGAATGTGTAATACACGGCATCTTTGAAGGTTTTCAAAGGAAATGCAATCTGATCAACCCAAGGCATGTTTATTTTGACGAGTACGTGGAAGTTGCATTTGGGATGAGACGATTGACTCATTTGCAAACATTACCTTCGTTAACTTTAGATAACGAAAGGAATCATGGAATTGACGAGCTGGGTGGCTTAAACCAATTAGAAGGTGAACTAAGTAGTAGATTTTTGGAACATGCGAGAGAGACAGATGAAATACAGGAATCTAATTTAGCTGGTCAAGCAAATTACAAGGGTTGACGTTACAGTGGGTTATTACAGGGATATAAACGACAAGGAAATGGATGTATTAGAAGGCCTCCAACCAAACCCTGAGTTGGAAATCTAGAGATTGACAAAATCATGAGTGCTAAATTGGCATCATGGATGATGAGTGGCTTATTGCCACTCAATTTGAAAGAGATTCGGTTATCCAACTCTGCCATTTGCCAAACCTTAGGCATGTTATATTCCAAACGCAAGCTATGCCAAACTTCGTGTTTTAAAAGCTTTGCTAGTATTCAAGAATTTTTGTTTATCAATTCATCCCTCCAACAACAATATGAGAAACCGGTTACCACTGAATGTATGTCTATGCAAATTACAACCGTTGGAATTCTTGGTTCTCCCATCTGTGGGAAAGATTAGTGATAATCAGCAGCGACAAAACAGTACAGTCAGTTCCAAATTGCTCAAAACGTCCCTTTGTAATCACCTGTACACGTTTAAAATCACTACCATACATCCGCTTCTCTTTTGGCGTTCCTCTTTGATTAGTTTTAGTTTTTAACTTTTAGTTATTGTGTGCATTGTGAGTTAACTCTTTTCTAATCCAGTATACTGGCTATGTCAATGCCATGTCTGTTGTATGCAAATAGACTTTTATTGTTACTTTGATTTGTAGGTTTTCAAGAGGCCATAAGTCGAAAGGAAGAGCTGGTGTGGAAGATATTGTGTAGGTACTTGAGATCTATTTCCCCTGTTGTCCTACATAGGTGGTGAGTTACTTATTTTTGTGTGGATAATGCATGACATGTTAGGTTACGTTCACGAACATACCTTAAGTGCTGATCATATTGCATATCTTACTCAAACCTTAAGACTTGCTTACCTACTCTCATCAGTAATACAACTAAATTCCAAAGCTATTCTGATATTCGATACGTGTAACATGATTCGAGGAACTTGAATTCCAAACTTTGGGGTCAATACTGTTTCTGAATCTTGTTTGAAATTCTTTCCAACTGTTTTTGACGCTATTTTTTTAAAAAATTCTTCTTTATCAGTAGTTAAGTGTTTGACATATTTTCAAAGCTTCAATCACCAAGGTATCTTCATATGGAAACTTACAGAGAAAGTAGTACATTTTCGAAAAGGTTTCAAATACCAGTACAGTTTCCAAATTCATTCATTTTCGGTATTGCTAAAATTAGTATCAGTAAAGAAATTATGAATCATACCTGCAAATATTTGAATACTCAGAATTTGAAAAATGAATCAATGCTATGAACTTGGGTTTTCTAACACAACAGCGTGCCCGTACTTGAAAGTCAGATGAGCTGTGCCTAACGAAGGAAAAGATCATGTTAGGATTCAAATCAAAACACACAGGAGTGGCATTTTTGTTAATCCCAAATTAACTCATGATTCTAGTCTAGATAAGGATTCGACTTGCACAATTGAACCTAGGTTCATATTGATGTAAAAAATTATGGTGCTGCCAATCTTATATTAGGCATAGCTTCTTTCACGTGCCAACACCACTTCTCTATTACTGGCACTCTACAAAGTAACCAAGAGAAGTGTTAGGCTCCTTAAAATTATTCCTTATGTTTCAATAAGAATTATTATTGGTGAATTGATGTTAACCTCTCTGCTCACGCTTTTCTTTTGTTTCAATAAGAATTGTGTTGGCAGGCTTTTGTAATTTGTTTGTTTCATGTATAATTAAGTTGATCCTGGTTGCACATTACACAGAACAAGGCTGGCTTGTCATGTCTCATCGAACCAAGACTTGGAGCAGGAATTACAAGAAACTTAGCATTTACGATTACCAGGGATGTCTCTACTTAAGTCAGCAAAGAGCGAAGTACAAAGTCAGTAGGTATTGAAAGCTGAAATCAAAACTCTCTCAATTGTCAATTCTCTTCTTTTCTTTCTCTTCTTAATTGGTACAGGTATTGCTTTGCTTAAAAACATCCAAGATGAGTTACACGAGAAAAAGTAAAGCAATGCAGAGATGGCATTCAAGGCATGAAATAATTGACCCACCGACAGCCACGCAGAGAAGGCATGAAATAATTGACCAACAATAATTGCACGGACAGACACGCAGAGATGGCATTCAAGGCATGAAATACGTAAGTGATGAAACTAAACGGAGCCACCCACCAATATTGAAAATCTTAAGCCCCATTACATGTCGTCTAGCACTTTTACCTTTCGTAATGTGAGGCCAATATTATGGCAAAGACGATATACCCGTAACCCATCACACTAAATGACTTGAATTTTTTTATTACAAATTTATAAATAAACCAAATCCTAGACATGTATTTATAAAAAAACCCAAATACTATTTAAACATAGAAACACACTCAAAATCAACAATTGTATATTTTTTGGGTGTGTTTATAAATGGGTTTTGAGTGTGTGTAATGATAGGTTTTGGGTGTGTTTATAAATTGTTTTGGGTGTTGGGTTTTTTTATAATTTCAGCCTCCATTTTAGAGAAATTATACAATAGTACGGTTATACCACGTCATCTTATGATACTTCCACTCAAATATTGCCACTTGTCCAATTTAAAAAAATAATAATTTGCTTTTTCACAGCTGGACTTTTACTTAATTTTCATATTTTATATAGAATTAGAAAAATAAAAATAAATTAAAAAGTACCATAGCCACCACCCCTCTCTCTCTTCTTCCCCTTCTCTCTTCCTCTTTCAAACAATATCGTTATCTTCCATAGTGCCCCTACACCTTTCTCTTATTTCTCTCAGACCTAGACCTTTCTTAGATTGCCACTGGCCGATCCTGATTACCCAAGCATGAACTATTTTTAATTATCAAGACTACTTCCCAACTATTATCATCAAAACCAGTTTAATCATCCTCCCTCTAAACCCAACCCCACTGCGTGAAATTAGTATAAGGGATAAAGAGAAAGAGGAAGGGAGAGGGATGGCTGTCATGGCAGGTACTGGAGATTAGGTTCATCGGGTTGGGGTGGTGCTGCTGTTGGGGCAATACTCTTTTTTTTTAAAAAAAAAAAATCAAGTCTTTTATTTTTATAATTCTATTTCAAAATATAAAAACTGAGAAGCCCAGCTGTAAAAAAGTAAATTATTTAATTTTAAAAATGAATACATGGCAATATTTAAGTGGGAGTACTATAAGCTGACGTGGTATATCTGTACTATTGTATAATTTCTCTCCATTTTGGGTGTTTTAATGAAACCCCCTTTTTTTATTTCCATCAACGGAGGAGAGAGAAACACTGAAACACTGAAACACTGTACTTGCGTCTTCAATTCATGGCGGGTGCTGGAGATTAGGTTCATCGGGTTGGGGTGGTGCTGCTGTTGGGGCAATACTCTTTTTTTTTAAAAAAAAAAAATCAAGTCTTTTATTTTTATAATTCTATTTCAAAATATAAAAACTGAGAAGCTCAGCTGTAAAAAGTAAATTATTTAATTTTAAAAATGAACACATGGCAATATTTAAGTGGGAGTACTATAAGCTGACGTGGTATATCTGTACTATTGTATAATTTCTCTCCATTTTGGGTGTTTTAATGAAACCCCCTTTTTTTATTTCCATCAACGGAGGAGAGAGAAACACTGAAACACTGAAACACTGTACTTGCGTCTTCAATCATCTGGTTTCCTTAGCTATCTTTGCATTCTCTGCTTTCTCATCTCTGTCTCGCGCGAGTATGGAAGCTGGAAAGGTGTTAGAAGTTGTCTATACTTTTCCTGTCGAGGGAATACTGAACAAGCTGGCTTCACTTGCTGCTCAAGAAATAAGCCTGTTCCGGGGATTCAAAAAGGAACTAACAAAGCTTCGTCAATCATTACTCGAGATTCAAGATTTCTTAGGCGATGTTGCCCACCAGCCACAAGAACGGGGCAAGGCATTGAAGGACTGGGTGAGAAAACTGAAAGACATAGCTGATGATGCTGACAATATCTTGGATGAAATCAACTATGAAGATCTTCGCAGGCAAGTAGAACTGTCAAACCAAAAGAGGAAAAAGGTACGCAACTTCCTTTCCAGCTCCAATCCCCATTTGTTTCGTCAAAAAATGGCACATAAAATCAAGAGCATCAACGCATCTTTGTTGGATCTCAAATATGAGGCATCTTTCATTGGACTAGTTTCCAAGAAAATAGATCCAACCCCTCCAGAAATTGGAGGGGCCAGAGAAACCGACTCAATCTTTGAGGAAGATGAAATCGTTGTTGGAAGGAATGAGGATCTGTCAAAGATAATGACAATCTTGACAAACTCAAACTTGGATCAAGAAAATCTTTCAGTAATGCCCATTGTCGGAATGGCAGGCCTGGGAAAGACAACTGTGGCTAGGTCACTATTCAATAAAGATTCTATTGGTGGACATTTTGAGAAGAAAATATGGGTGTGTGTATCTGACACTCTTGAGGTCAATTCGATTTTAAGTTGGATATTAGAATATCTTAACCCAACAAAGGCTGGGATACAACGCCTAGATGCATTGCTTAAAAACCTAGTACAAGAATTGGAAAAAAAGAGATTTTTTCTCGTGCTTGATGATGTGTGGAACGAAGATCCTCAAAAATGGAGCAATTTGATGAGTTGTTTGTCAAAACTTCATAGTGCCCAGGGAAGCGTTGTTATTGTCACTACGCGCAGTGCCAGTGTTGCATCAATCACGAAAAAAGTACTTCCAATGTATGTTTTGAGAAGTCTATCTGTTGATGATTGTTGGGACATATTGAAGAAAAGAGCATTTCCAGATGGTAATGCTACTATTGCAAAAGATCTAGAAACAATTGGAAGGGAGATTGCCAGAAAGTGTGCTGGTATACCTTTAACGGCAAAGGTACGTAATGATATATCAATTTGAATTTTCTTGCATTTCTTTAAATTTATGCAAAATTGAAATACCAGTACTGGCATTGACTTGCAAATAATTTGTTGAAAAAAAATATCGTTACAATGTAATTAGCATCGGGTTTTTTTGTTGTTGAAAAAAATAGGTTTTATTTATGGAAAAATAAGGTGATGTGTTGTAGGTAAGAAAAACTGCGTTTGAAGGGGAAACCCAAATTTACTATTTACACACATGAACATTTGTCTAAGAGGATTAAACATTCCAACAAAATACCAGTTTTTGGTGAAATGTTAACATTTACAGGTAACATACAACTAAGTTTTTTGAAAAAACAAATGATGTTTCCTGTTATTATAGCCAAGTCACCTAGTTAATCTTTAATATATACACTAATTTATGTACCAACAGGTTTTGGGAAGCATGATGCGTTCTAAATATAGTATCGATGAATGGTTGGAAATTCAAAAAAGTAAGACGTGGGAATTACCAAAAGGAGATGAAAGAATAATGTCGATTTTGAAGTTGTTTTGATAATTTGAAATCACCTTCTTTGAAACAGTGTTTTGCATATTGCTCAAATTTCAAGAAAGATTTTGAAATGGAAAGGGCAGACTTGATCCAGCTATGGATGGCTCAAGGATTTCTATGTTCTTCTCATAACAAAGATATGGAGGATATAGGTGATGAATATTTTATGATTCTGTTGCAAAACTCCCTCTTTCAAGATGTTATAAGGGATGACTTTGGTACTATTATATATTGCAAGATGCACGATCTTGTACATGATCTTGCTGAGCTTGTATCAAGATCTGAAATGGAAGATAAACTTGAGAATCAACACGTGGCATGGGATCCTTCCAAAAGTTCCGAAAGAAATGTTGAGAAACGGCGGTCACTGTTTGTGAATGGTGATCAAGCCCTTAGTATTAATACATTACTTATAAGCTTTAAGGCTTTACGTGTTTTAAATTTGTACCGGGCTGATATTGAGGAGCTGCCAAGTTCAATTGGCGTCTTGATACATTTGAGGTATTTGAACGTTTCTCGAACAAAAATCAAAGAACTCCCTAAGTCTATTGGCAAGCTTTATAACCTACAAACGTTAAGAATGGAGGATACATGGAATCTTAAAACGTTTCCAAAGGAAATGGAAAATTTGATCAACTTGAGGCATGTTTATTTTGATTATGATATGCCAGTTCCATTTGGGATGGGACGATTGGAACATCTGCAAACAATTTCTCCTTCATTTACTTTGGACAAGAAAAGTAATAGTGGAATTGACGAGCTGGGTGGCTTAAACCAACTAAAAGGTGCACTAATTATTAGAGGTTTGGAACATGTGAGGGACAGAGGCCAAGCAGGGGCATCAAATTTAGTTGGGAAAGCAAATCTACGAAGGTTGACCTTAGAATGGGGCACTTATTACCGGGGCAGAAACGAGACAGACATTGATGTACTAGAAGGCCTCCGACCCAACTCTGAGTTAGAAATCTTAAAGACTAACAGATTCATGGGTTCTAAATTAGCATCATGGATGATGAATGGTTTGTTGCCACTCAATTTGACAGAGATTGGGTTAATTAATTGCGAAGAATGCGAACAAGTTCCATCACTTGGCCATTTACCAAATCTTAGGCTTGTTGAGTTTAGCAGTATGTATAAGCTTAAATGTGTGGGAGTTGAGTTTTATGGTTATAACCATGTTAACGGTGCGGCTACGAGTACGAAGAAGAAAGAGACTTTGTTTCCAGCATTGAAAAGCTTAACTATTGATTATTGCCCAGCTCTAATTAAATGGGAGGAACTGCCAACAGATGAGAAAGTAGCGGTGTTTCCCTGCCTTGAGGAGTTGACTATAAGCAGTTGCCGGAGTCTCGAGTTCATTCCAATTACCCTGGGCAAGGGCATGCCATGTCTCCGCAAATTGCAGATTCAGTTTTGTCAGAAATTATCAAGCTTGCCAACTAGCTTAGAATATTGCATCTCTCTTCAGGAGTTGGAGATTCAGGGTTGTCATGGATTGACAAGTCTACCGAGCGGGCTACCATCCTGCACATCTCTTAAGGAGTTGAGAATCGAGTCATGCGACAATTTGATATCTCTGGCAGATCTCGATATATCCAGGTTGCAGTCTCTTTCCTCTTTACATATATTTAAATGTGGGAAATTAAACTATTTGCCAATAGAGGGGCTACGCTCTCTTACGTGTTTAGAATCTATGAAAATGGGTCCATTTTCGGAGGAGCTCGATTCTTTCCCTGATTTTGAGCTTCCATCACAAATCCAAAGACTAGTGATGAAAGGGTGGCCTAATCTTAGGCTCAAGTCTCTGCCTCAGCAAATTCAACACTTGACTACTTCTCTAACATCTTTGGAGATTGATTCTTTCGATGGTGTGGAGGCTCTTCCAGAGTGGTTGGGTAACCTTACATCTCTTACCACCCTGAGTATCAGTCATTGTAAGAATCTGGTGTCTCTTCCTGCCGTTGAAGTTATACAACGCCTCACCAAACTGCAAGAGCTAGTGATTGAGGCATGTCCCCGTCTAGGAGGAAGATCCGCCCTCAAGAGCGGCCCAGAATGGCACAAGATTTCTCACATCCCACGTATCGATGGTAATTACAATATTCTCAAATGAAATCATTCAATTCCCTTCTCTCACTTAATTCTCCATAAGTTCATAATTGGGTGCATATTTCTAATCTCAGATTGCATTCATTAGATGTGTTGATAGATTTAATATGGAGATTAGAAATATGTAACCAATCCTCTAACATAAAATACTTGTTGAAGAATCTTCCTTCTTTTCTTCAGTATTATTGACCCAACACATTTTTAATTAGTTGACGGATGCGAATCATCAGAATCTTTTAGTGATGATGATTCGACCCCTTCACAAACTAGCTAGCACAGTTGGAGCACGAAGTGAGTCTACTCTTCTTCTCTCATCAGATTAATCATTGAACTAGATTTTCAGAGCTTTCTACTCTTCTATAGCCTCTGCTTAATGTTTTCCATATCTTCCTATATACGTTGTTGTTTTGCAGAAGGATCTTACGCAATTGGAAGAACAAATAATGCGCATTTGGTGTAAACTTAGTCCAGGCACTTCACTTCAGTTCCCTTTCCTCTGCATCGTTATTTAGTCATTTCTTTGGAGATCAAAGCAGAAGAAGAAAGAATTACCCTAATAAGCATATCATACATTCCCATCTATCATTAAGTAGATACTAACCTCTGTTAAATCTCAATGCACTTAAGTTTGATGCGCTTACACAACAGGCAAGACACTTCAGCTTTTAGTTATTAGTTTCACAGAATTGCTTTGCTTTTATGAGTCCTTGGTGTGACATCTGTAATTTTCTGTTTCAAATTTTAATTTTTCTCTTTTACAGGCAAGGAGATACTGCAATCAACACTCATATGCTGTCTAACCTGTCTCTTCGAAGAAATATAGTTGAAGTGCTTTTACGAGTGACCTTTGCATGTACCCTTGTGGTTCTATTTCTATAGGGAATAATGGGATGAGAGAAGCGAGATAAATTTAATTTGATGGTGAGAACCTATTTTCTTTCTTGTGTACTCTTTGTACTCTTTTGATTAAGTGAATTATCGTTGGCATCATCGCCCGTGGATGTAGCCCGACTTTGGGTGAACCACGTTAAATATGGTGTGTTCTTTTGGTGTTTATGCTTTTACTTTATCTTCCTCTTCCTGTTTGTTATTGCTTTTCTTTTAGCGTTTGGTTTGTGGTCTCGAACTAGAGAGTTAAATTCAATGTGACAAATTCCTTACTCTGCTTGCCATTGGCAACTTGCATTGGGTTGTTTTCAGAATCACAAAGATTTCACGTCAAACTTTATTAGCCTATATGGTCTCGACATAAAACTTATATACAGATTGCTTCAAAATCTCCATTTAGAATTCGATCATCCAAAGACATTTCACTAGGTGCGTGCAGCGTGGCATGGCTACTTGTATCTAGCTTTTGCTCTTTCCTATGACCACTGAAAACTCAACTACATGTAGCTAGCGCATAAGGGAAGGGAGACAAATCAAATGCAATTGGGTGCTGGCAATGATCTTTACATTAACACTGGGTTGGAAGAGAAATAGCGCATAAGGGAAGGGAGACAAATGCAATGCAACCTGAGATCACTTTTACTTGTCCTACTTTCGACTTGAAGTTGGAGAGCAGCCCAATAAGCATTCCTATCTTCACTTGCAGGAGCAGGTTTTGAAATTGGAGATTACAATGTTAAGCATTTGAAACTGGAAATTTATAATTCCTAAACAATACAAAATTCTTTTACTTTCTATATATCTCAGAGTAAATATCATTTCTATCAAAAAGGTAAATCATTTAGGATTTGGTCATTTATTCTTATTGAACTGCAAATGAACTTCAAACTTTCATTATAACCAACAACAATACTGTAGACATTAACTTATGTATTACATTTTTTTAAACACAAATGAGGGGGACTACTGCTCTCATTTAATGGTAATTCTCACCCCCTTTTTACGGTAATTAAAAAAATATTAAAAAACATAAAGGAGTGCAAGTGGACAAAAAAAGTTCTCATTTTTATACTGTAAATGAATAATTTTCACATTGAGTCCAGATATGAAATAAATAAATTACTGATGCATTTGTTAGTAACCAAATCTCACTTAGCATATGCTTGCCGCATAGACATGTTGTTAGTAAGTTTATGTCAGTCTCTGTTAATTCCAAGTATACACGGTCTGTAGTAGTAGTAGTAGTCTATACTTAAACCTTAAGACTTGCTTACTTACTGGCATCAGTAGTACGACTAAATTCAAAATCTATTCTGGTATTCATATGTGACTCAAGGAACTTGAATTTCAAACTTAGTGGTCTACACTTCTCCTGAATCTTGTTTCGAATTCTTTTTTTCTTTTTCTTCTGTTTTTGTCTTCATCTTTGGATGCTTTTTTTTCATTCTTCTTTATAAGTAAAGTGTTTTGTACATTTTGAAAGCTTCAATTACCATCGTTTGTTTATATGGAAACTTACAGAGAAAGTACTACATTTTTAAAGTTTCAAATACCAGTTACAGTTTCCAGTTTCATTCATTTTTTTGTTTTGCTAAAATGAACCAATGAACAAAAATTGGATCATACGTGCATATATTTGAATTCTCAGACTTCAAAATGAATCAATGCTTTATTTATGTGGCAATCTATACAATTGCAGGTGTTTATGCGTCCATGGTGTCGTTACAACATTTGTAATTTTCTGTTTCAGATTTTAATTTCTCTTTTTTCCATGCATGGAGAGATACTGGAATCAACACTCAGTGCGCTGCCTAACCTTTTGTATACTGCATAATGCAACCAAGATGGTGTTTTCGTGGTGCAGGTTTTCAGCTATATATATGGTATATCATTTGTTGATGTTGAATTATTAAGTCTTTTTATTTACCTTGAGTATTTTAGAGTACCCTCGACCTTGAGTATCCATTTTCCTAACCCTCTTGTTTCCATAATTCAGGTCATGGACTCTTGCATGGTTGCATATGATCATACAGAACAGAGGCCTCTGTTCCTAAAGTTACAGGATAAAATTTCACCAACATTAGCGAGTCTTATTGGATAGCATGTCACTTACCTATGCTTATTGCATAGCATGTCATTTACCTGTGCTTTTGCAATGTCCAGGTAAAGAAATCTTCAGTTATAAGCTTTTTACCTCCATTTGAAAAGTTGAAGGCTATTTTGAACATTTCTTGCTAAGTTGGTCTCGGTTTTAAATTGACTATGCATTGCAGAGTCGAGATTGAAAAAGAAACGCATGCACATAATGTGCATGTGGTCTACAACTTATTGTTTTGGACAAAATGGTAAGCTATGATCCCTTTAACTTGTTTTCTTGACACTCATCATCAAATCTGAGTTATATTCTTATAAGTTTTGCATCACATTGTCAATTTGTTTGTTGTGGTGCAGTTCAATGAGGAAAAGTGCTTTAAATCAACTTCTAGAGGTGCAGAAGCACTTTTCGTAGCTACTCAAGCCCTGCATCTTGTCTCCCGCAAAGATTAAAAGAAAGATAGTTTAAATTAATATCGAAGTGATAAGAGTCATTTTTGTTTAGATCTATGGATGCATTTATGGAGTTTTTTGTTACTCTAGTATGTCTCTACTGATCTATGGATGGATGCATTTATCAGTAAAGACCGGAGTAGAAAATCAGTAGGTATTGCTTAAAAACATCCAAGATGAGTTACATGAAAGCGATACCTACCTATTCTGACAGGACCTGCCCCGAATTTTTCACAAAACCCGAGACGAATCCTGCGGAGACCCCAGCATCACACCCATGCTGGTTTCACTCCTTAAACAGGTAACCTCCTTCTTTAAGAGGAGTAAGGGCATGAGACTTTCTGTCGAAAATTCGGCAGAATCTCCCCTGTAATTTGAACATTTCCCAAAATTTCCACCTGCATAAAACGCATTTAATAACCACAACTGGCAGCACGCACAATGTAATAACATGCAATTCAACTAATTGGCCTCCGGCCTTCAAATATTCCCAAAAAGATCTGCCAACAAAGTCTTCAGATAAAAATTTCCTGAAACATAGCAAGAACAAGCTCAAACACACTTATAATTGCCGAAAGCAAAACTCACCACTAACTTTCCCCAATCCAACAAACGAGGTTTTAACATGCATCAATTATCATCTATAAATTATCACCATTCATTCCAGGGCCTCAGCCCATTATTACACACTTTATTCAATAGTACACCTACACAACCCTCCCTTAGCCAACCGGGAGTATGAACAAAATCTAAACATACCTCGATTTCAAACGAGTTTCAGGGCCAACAACAAGGTCCGCATCACACTCAACAAAACACATAATTAGAGTTTAACCCGTGGCTGCGCCTAGTTACTTCAGGCTGCCTACGTACCCTTACTGAGGGATCAAGCCACACGTAGTTCTTTCATATCAACGGTCACATCTCCGATAATACACAATTAATTAAAGCAGAACCAACAAATACATTTCAAATTTATCACCAATCAATTTCCCACTAAACACAATGAACACATTCTCAAACTCTTCCTTTACATCAAATCAACCTGCAACCATACCCTATCCAAGGCGTACGTTGCCGAACAACATCTCCCAAACCGGGGCGTAAACATTTATACATGTACAAGGTCCTCTCAAAGGACAATCTCACGATTTCAATCCCGAATCAAAAACCACATATACACATATATAACACACACCTCTCACCATCATCATGTACCAGAGGAAACAATCCAACAGGGGATCGTTTGACTAGTCCACATGGCAGAGCAATCCCTCAATTCACCATGCGTCTAGGGAACGAGCCGTCCAACTGGGGGACTAACTCTCAGCCCAGCACGTACGGACGAAGAATCAAGACCCGTACGCCTGTAAACAGTCATACGCGCGCAGACTACCCAGTCAAGGGTCTACGGTAACACCCCGTTAAGGTATGCCCGGGTATCAACACATTCACAGATTCATATCCATTTCCATGTATCAGTATCCAAAGGAAGGTACATGTGATGTTGCACATCATGTACTGGGGGAAACAATCCAACAGGGGATTGTTGACTAGCTCACAATTATCCGGCCCTCAAACGTCCATGTGGCTAGGCAACGAGCCGTCCAACTGGGGGACTAACTCTCAGCCAGCACGTACAGCCGATAAAATCAAAGCTTGGACGGCCGGAAACCC